GCTTGATTCCTGGTGTGGGACATGCAGTAGGCAGTGGAGCAGTGATTCTCTCTCATCACTGATTTTTATGTCTTGCTCTCCCTCTCCCTTCCTCTCTGAAACCAATAAAAATATATTTTTTAAAAATTTCTCCCCTAAAAAGCATTGCCAGGAATAAGATTACTGTATTAAAATGTATAAACCAGCACATAAACTTAAACTCTATCTCTTCATATGAATCCACTATGTATATAGGCAGTAAGAGTCAGACAATGACTATTCATTAAATGCCATTCCACTGAGTTAATAATCACAGGAAAACAGTAAACTTTGTTCTAGGGAATCTTAGGAAAAAATATTAATACGAGTTCATATCTTAAAGGAAATGCAGATCTTGGTCTCCTCACCACAGTGTGGAAGGTCAGTCGGGGTGACCTCCCAGGTCTTTCCAGCTTTGCATGTCTATGACCCAACTTCTCCTTAGACAGCCCTCCACCCCCACCACAAAGCCAGAAGGGGCAGTTTCTTCCCTCTTTCCCAAACGTGCCTGACCTTTGATGTAAGAATTCTGCTCATCTCATCCTCTTTCACTTTACCTCCACCTGGAATAGCCTTTCCTCACCCTGAGAAGCAGCTTTGGCCATCACCCCAAGTTTAAATCTGACCCTTTCCTCCAGGCTCTTAGTTTTCCACCTCCTGCATCTGAACCAGGCCACTGTCTTCAAAAATCTAGCGTGCACATATGTGCATAAATGATTTATATAAATCATTTAATTTAGCTAGATCTGTGGTCACATCAACGGAAATCTACCTTAACTGAAGGCACACCGGGCTCTGAATTTAAAAAAAACAACACAATCCAGGTTTCTCCTGCATCAATATCAACGTTTTTACTACTGGCCAAGCTGACAAATTTATGACAACACAGAATCGAATAGTTGATATAACTGAAGGTGAAGGTCATGTCATAAAACGTTTAGTAATCCACTTAAAATAGTTAAAAAATAAAGTCTGAATACAGAGAGAAGATGTGCATCAACATTAAGTGTTTTTCCTGTTTTTCTTTAACCAAGCCCCATTTATAGTGTTTTAAATTTCTTAAAATTTCATTTCTTCTTCCAAGTTTAACTAACCGTTTTTACCATCTATATTATAATCTGGAGATCGAGATAAGGAAAGTGAATTCTGCTTTGGATATAGAAGACATATTCTAATCAAACAAAGCTACCAGAATAAATCATCTCTACAGAAAATGAATTAACATGCTTTTTCTTTCTGTAAAAAAAAACACACCCCTGTAATATTAATAAAAATATAACATACTTTAAAGGTTTAAATTCTTAAAATGAGAATTCATAATATGATAACAGAGCGTATCAAAGTGTAAAAGGCAGTGGGCACATCCAGTACTGGGTGAGGGCGCTAAGCTATGAGGTTATCATATTATAACATGGAGAGCAGTTGCAATACCCTGCCACCATGCACTACCAGCTCTCTTGGGTGTCATTTTCACCCGCGACTTACGAGATTTTCCGGTTTGAAGCCTCATCATCAGTGTGTAAACTGAAGCTGCTCCAGAGGCAACAGGGAGAGAAGCAGCTCTGGTGGCATTTGAACTGAAGATACTCAGGCAGAGAAACCAATCTGGTGGTGGTGTAAGAGATGAATGGAACCGGAAGAAGAGGAGACAGTAGGAACAGAAAGGACAAAGTAGAGGAGAAGACAATCAGAAATGTGATGGCGGAATGAAAAAGAAGGGCAACTAAAAGGAAGGCAAAAGGTGAAGGAAATGTGGGGATCAGAGAGAGAAAGGGGAGAGAGTAAGGAGGAGGAAGAGAAAAAAAATGTAAACAATCTTTGGGTATATGAAAAGCAACATGTACCATATGCCTGTACATCTGATTGCCGTTTTTATAAATCACAGATGCTAGCAAATGACCAAATACAGAATTAGAATCTAGGCACAAATCCATGAACCTCAAGGGCTGGAATATCACTGATACACATTGTTTAAAAACAAAGATCAAAGCTTCAGGTCAACAAGTTTCATGGAAGTTACTGCCATACTGATTCTCTTGAGTGACTAAACCTGGGGAGGAAATTCCATTGTTCTGATCCTGAGTCTGAAACTGTTCAAACACAAACAGAAGGTGATGTTGGTTTCTTAGTTGGTCATCTTCAAGCTTACCAGCCAGCCGGAAGTGCCACATAGTTCCCGAGTTCCTCAGAAAAGTATTTCCATCATGTCCATCTCTCTATATTTTTGGTCTATTTTTCCATTTTAAAGTGAATTCTAGCAGGATCTACCTGGAGCCAACCATGAAGTAAATCAGAAATTGATGTCCCTGTACCATGCCTTCCAGGGGCCAGGATTCCACCTCTC